AATTCTACAAATCATTAATTATGAGTACTTAGATCTCAATAGGTTGAAAGCGTCCTACTACCATGTTTAAGGTCACCTAGGTGCTGTGGACCTGATTGCACTTGGCGCTAAAACATTCAAACCTATACCAATGATCAATAGCTGCAGAATATATCTGTCCTTTTGATTTCTTCCTCAGTACGGAAACTAAAATTAACCTTTCTCACAATACATTCACAGTGTTGTGGTAGAACCATAACGGTAATAGTGGAAAAAATAAAAAATAAAACGAAAACAACACCCTAAATTTATCATACAGCTGGAATCAGTCATAGAATTGATTTATTCTGTGGATTATAAAGAGCCTTTATTTTGACATAGTTTTAGTGACAGCTTAGATTAAACAGTGGGTATGAGCCTTTTTTTAACACGCAGCAAAAAATGTCATCATTCATTTGTCAAACAGACATAAACTGGCTGAAGTGACAGAAAGCAGAGACAGTTCAGAGAGAGAATATCTGCAGCAAAGAAACGAGGCATCGCTGCCTCAGTATTCCAGCTCAGCGTTTGTATCCCATCCCTCCATAGTGCACACTAACACATAGTGCATTACACAGCCATGATATGGCTCTATTGTATGCCTAAAAAATGCCCCTCAATGACACCTTGCAGTAATGATGGTGTCATTAAGCACTTTTGTCAGATATTTAAATTATACAGTGCTACAAACCTGTTTGCAAATTTCATAAATATGTATTCAAGTGAATAACAGCAATTTAAATAGGTTCTGTAATTTTCCCTTCTCCACTGAACACACACACACAGGCACACAGTCCCTACACACACTGTTCTGCTGCACTTGCTTCTAGGAAGGTCAGATTGTATGCTTTGTACAATCAGCACTTGGCTGTATAAGCAGTTGATGTGTGTGTGTATGTGTGTGTGTGTATGATTGCATGTCCATATGACCATATAACCACGTGTGTCTATATGTCCAGTCTGTGTACAGTATGTCCTTGTGTGCATGACTGCACACATGTCACCGTTTGCATGTGCTCCCCCTCATGCCTCAGCTGTGATTGCGTGTGCTGCCCATGCTTACATGTCTGCATGTGGAGTGTTGTGTGTACAAGACTTTGTGTCACGGGTTGGTGTCTTGTTGCACGTCCACCAACAGAGCTGTTTGTTGTCTCCGCATACGCTTCTCTGTGTTCTTCCCACTGAATCATTGATGAGACTGTAATTCGAACGCTGGCCCTCCTATTTTCTTCCCCCTACAGTACCTTCTGTCGTCAGTTAGCCTCCGTCCAGTGCCGCTTACAGGAAAACCAGTATGCTGCTCTGACAAAGCACAGACAGCAGACCTGCCCTGGAAACTAAAAAAGCAATCATTAGTTACAAAATGGACAAAGGACCACAGACACAAACAGTAACAGTAACTTTTAGGCTTTTCCCGTTATATATACACGTGAATGATCAAACTGTAATCACAGAAACAGTTACTCACCTTGTTTGGCCGCTCACCATGCCACAATGTCTACACAGTTACTCATGTGTTTGTGTGGCACAGTACTGTTTTACTCTTTGTTCATTATATTCCAGATTTAAAAGGCTAATTTTAAGGTAACAAACACTCCTTATTTTCAGGTGATTATACAGTAATGAAAACATACTTATGAATATTACATTCCATTTCTGCCAAGAGAGCCTCCTAAA